GAGGAAAGGAAATGGAGCAGCTGCTGGGAGCTCAGCAGCACTCCCATTCATCCCTGTCCCCGAGGTCCCCGACCCGGCCGCACCTCCAGCACGCCGCCTCCAACCGGTTCCGGGATCACCACCACCACTCGCAGCAGCAGCCCCACGCCGGGCTCAAGATCCTCCGCGTCACCCCTCCCTTCTTCCTCCTCCTCCTCGCCGCCGTCTACCTCCTCGCCTCCGTCACCATCCTCTCCGCGCCGGCGCCCTTGCCCCGCGCCTCCAAGAAGCCCGACAGGCTCGTCATACCCACGCCCGCGCCGGTGCCCCCCTCGCGGCCGCCTTCCCCGGAGTTGCTCGAGCTCGACAACGGCAGGATCCGGGCCAGAATCAGCAATGTCGGCGCCGCCGTCACGTCGCTGCTTGTCCCGGACAAGAACGGTATGTTTGTTTGCGCTGCTGCGAGCTGGTTCGTTGCTGATTTATTACGGTTGTGGTTGTGATTGCCGTCCTATGTGCTTCCGCAGGGGTTCTTGCGGATGTGGTGCTTGGATTCGACTCCCTGGATCCGTACCTGGTTAGTTCTTGATTTGTGCCTTTCGATTTGCAGTAATTAGTTAGCCAATTTCGGTGCATTTGGGATTACTGTCTGAGGACCGGAAAGGGGATGTTTCTTGGTTTCTCACTTTTGGAAGTCTTTTTTTTTTTTTTTGGATGGGACGTTTGGAAGTCAATCAACTAGCCTAGTGGCCTTGTTTTCTTTTGTACCCCCGCGCCACATATTTTGTAGTGTAATGTTTGTGCTGAGAGCCTGAGACCTCCTGGCATAAGAATGCATTGCCACATAAAAAAGGATAATGTGACCGTGCAATCAAGGATGTGAGATAGAGTTCTAACCGTGTGGCAGGCGTGGTGAGCAATCTTCAAATCATTCAAATTAGATAAGAGTTCTAGTATCATATTAGTCCTCCCGTAGTGGGGGTATCATATCAAGTATGCCAACTAGGCAATTTTTCTGAGGTGGCAATTTAGTATTATGATGCTGTATCCACGTCAAATGAAAAAAGTTAATAAGAAATAAATTCTACCCACGACATTGTATTGAGATTCTACAAATGAATAAATGAATTGATAGTATGATACTATGCATTGGGGAGGTAGTACCATAGACTAATCTATGATACTACCCACTATGATGGGTCTGATGTCCCAATCTTGGCTCATTGGGGTATTTTAAGGGGTACATCGTCGATCATAATGGTGTTGTGAATAAAACTATACAAGATGGATATCATGCTAGCATACTATTCTTCTAATTTTATGTTTATTTTGAGGGTCTAAATTTTGAGGGATCGGCTTGAGATGCCCTTATGTGCCTGTTATTTATATGCATTACATCTACTGCTGATCTTATATGACTAGATCTACTTATACTTATATATCGATATATTTGTTTCGTGCTGATGGTTTGTGTTCTCTTATTTTTAGAATGGCACCTCGCCTTACTTTGGCTGCATTGTTGGGCGAGTTGCAAATAGAATCAAGGATGGAAAGTTTACTTTAAATGGCGTGCAATATAGTTTGGGCATCAACAACCCACCTAACACTCTTCATGGTAAGAGACATAGGAGGCCTGAGTTGTTACAATTCATAGATGTTCTAGTTTGTTCATTTATTCAGGTTTTCAGGCATATGCAATGCTTACAGTTTGCTTATCCTCCTACCCTGCTGCCAAACATTTGTGACTGATTGAGACTGCAGATGACAGTGATATTTCTGCTAAACAGAATTAGTATACAATAAATGGAATTAGTATACAATAAGTAAAAGAGAATCTTCTTCAGTGAGACGCCATGGGACATGTGGGTAATTAGATTCACTTTTAAAACATTAGCTACTATTTTTAGTTGGATGGTTCATTGATATTTAAGTTGCCAATGATATGAGTTTACGCTCTATTTTATGAATTTAGACCCCCAAAAAATCAGGATCTGAATATTTTGCGCCTAAATGGAAAAGGATGTGCAGGGGATCATTTTACCATTTTAATACGCTACTGTGGTCTTATTTGGATTAGTAAAGACTTACTCGCTCAAAACTCATTTTCATAGATATACAACTTTTGATTTTGAACCCCCAAAGCCTTGCTATAGTAAGCTATGGGATTGGGATGCCCCTCTTGAGATAGAACAACAGTTATTCCAGTGGCAAAAACAACATCCTCTATCGTAAACTGTTTTTGGAAGTCTGGTAGTGCCAAAACAGGTGGAGGCCATTGCAGCTTTGAGTTGATTGAAAGCATGTTGTGCTTCAGGTGTCCACAGGAACTGCTTTCTTCTGAAGTAATTGAGTGAGGGGTTTTGCCAATTAACTGTAGCCTTTCACTAATAACCTGTTAGGCCCCAAAACCCTCTGAGTTGAGTGACATTATCTGGGACTGGCCAGCTTATCATTGCAGTAGTTTTCTCAGGATCAGTAGCTACTACTCCCTGTCCAGAAATGATATGACCCAAATATTCCAGCTGACTGGTAGCAGAAACACATTTACTTTGCTTTGCAAACAATTGGTTTCGTTGCAAGATCTCAAACACTTGCTCTAAGTGTCTCACATGTGTAGTAAGAGAGGGGCTGTATACCAAAATGCCATCCATGAATAGAAGGACAAATTTTCTCATGATAGGCTGGAATATGGAATTCATCAGGCACTGAAAGGTGTCAGGTACATTTGTTGGAAGTGGCATTACCCTGAACTGGAAATGACCATGGTGAGTTTTAAATACAGTTTTAGCTTCCATCTTCTCACACCATCCTGGTATGATGATTCCCACTTCTAAGACCCAACTTGGGAAAACAAGAGGCACCAGCTAACTCATCAAGTAACTCCTCAACAATGGGTAGTGGAAATGTGTTCTTAACTGTGGCCATGTTCAACCTTCTATAATCCACACAAAACCTCCGGATATTGTCCTTCTTTTTAACCAGTAGAATAGGAGATGCAGAGGTGCTCATACTTGGTGTAGCCATGCCTGCCTTGATCATCTCAGCCACTTGCCTTTCTATCTCATCCTTCTGGTGAGGAGCATATCTATAGGGCCTAGAATTTACAGGGGCTGCCCCAGGTAGCAGTTTAGTAGCATGATCAACTTCTGTGAGCGGGGAGAGATTTTGCTTCCTGGAACACTTTTCTGATTTTTTCCAACACTAACTGAATCTCCGTGGGCACAGTGGTATGTACAGTATCTGACAGAGGACAAACCACAGCCAGAGCCCAAGCCTATATGTCATTAACTTGGTGCCACTGGTCAATGTCCTCTAGAGTAGCCTCCTGAGAAGTGGGCAGAGATGGTGAAACCACTCCCTGAAGTTTCACTGTTTGTCCCTGATATTGAAACTCCACCCGTTTGTCTTCCTAATTACACTGAACTTTGCTAACCAGTCCATTCTAAGGACAGCATCATAACCCTCCAGGTTAAGTACTTTCATTGGATGAGTAAAAAGGCCTTGTTGTATGTTCCACACTAACTCAGGCACTTCTGTATTGCAATGTAATATATCCCCATTCGCCACTTTGACTCTCATTGGTCTTGCTGGCCTGCTTGGCAAATGCTACCTATCCACAAATTATTGGTTCAGAAAACCGTGAGAGCTACCAGAATCAACTTCCTGAATCATTGCAAACACTGCTGCTTGAGCTACTGTATGTGGCAACTGTGTTTTCACATGACCCCCTGATTCCGGTTTGAGCCCCATAATAAATTGATTTACCAACATCAACATTCCTATCATCAAAAATAAATAAATAAAATCAACCTTCCAACAGCTGGATCATATATTTTAATGTGATACGCCAGCTGATCAAATTCTCTTGTATTCCTCACCTCAACACTATCCACTTGCTTGAGCAAATACAATTCCCTTAACTTGTCCCTGTGGACATTGACTTCAAATTCCTGCAACAAATCTGTACTGAATTTCTGCCAATCTTGCGAGCTTGCTGTTAGTACTGAATTGCTGCTGCTGAACTAGATCGAGTGCATCGAATCGGTCTGACAAGGCCTTGATCTCAGCGAGCAGCTTCTCCTCCATACTTCTGATCCCGGCGACGATGTACTGTGGCTGGGCACTAGGCTTGAGCAACGGAGCCGTGACTGCTCCCCCGAATCGACCTAACCGATCATAGGATTTATGCCCGATTGCGCGAAAGCAACCAGCGACCCGCTCTTGGAAATTTTACCAGTCGATGAAGAGAGTGTGAGACAGCGTAGGACCAAAGAAGCTAAATACCAATTGTTATGACCTAGCCTATGATTGGGCTAGATGTAGCAGCAGATCGGACGAACTTAGGAAGAACAGAGGGGAAGGAGCAGAGACTTGAGGAAGAACAGGGGAAGGGGAAATCAGATATTCATTTCATATTCGATGACTGCAAACAGTACACTGCAACGGCTTATAACTGGGCCACACCACACCTACTGCCCTCCGGGCAACCCACTAGCGACTCAATGCCCAGTCACCCACTTGATGGCGCCAACTGGAGTCCCTTCTTGCCTCGCTTCCCTCGATCGACTCGAACATCAGTTTCGTCCGTTAACGCCTGAACACCTTCTCCTGCATCTCTGTTGTTCTGTGGCTCTGTGCCGTGCTCTTCTCTGACACTCCGACAACTTGTGCCCTTGTTGCACTGCTAGAGCTATGTAGGAGTGGACAGTGTTTAGGGGTTAAAGCCCAGTTCTACCAATTTAAATTTGAAGGTCTCATGGTGTAGTGAAGTTGTGAGGTATAATCTTGTTTATGCATGTTTGGTTCATATAGACATGGCCAACTTTAACCTGCTTTGTGTAACATCTGGTGCCGCTGTAGCTGTAGCATCATCCATGTTGATCAGCTGCAAGAACATGTAAGAAATTCCTTGAATCACACTAGTCCATCTGCTGTGCGGAATCAGTATTTGTGGCAGTCTGGGTTAAGGAGAATTGCTTATCTGAATGTGCACTCTGTCAAGATCAATCATTTTTTGTATCATGGTCGATATAATCACAAATGCACATGTATACATGCACAGAGAAAAGATCACTACATTACTTATGCTATTACATACTCTAACTCTAATGCTGTGCAATATCAAATTTTCAGGAGGATTTAAAGGGTTTGATAAAGTCATATGGGAAGTCACTGAATATAACAAAGGGAAGACCCCATCAATCACCTTAAAATATTATAGTAAAGATGGAGAGGAAGGTACCGTGGGAACTAACTCCCATTGAACAGTTGACTACATGAAGGGTTGAAATTCACTATAATCTGACAGATCTCTCTTAAGTAAACAGGTTTCCCAGGTGATGTTTCTGTTATGGCCAGATATTCTCTTCCATCAAGCATGGAGTTGAAGCTAGAGATGGAGGCTGCACCTTTGAACAAGGCCACACCTATCAGTTTAGCACAGCACACCTACTGGAACCTGGCAGGCCACGACTCCGGAGATGTGCTTGCACATTCTATCCAGATACGGGGATCTCAGATAACTCCAGTAGATCAAATTTCAATACCCACAGGCGAGTTTATGCAAGTGAGTGGCACGCCATTTGATTTTCTGACTGAGGTTGAGATTGGCAAAAAAATTGGCCAAGTCCCTGGTGGTTATGATCACAACTATGTGCTTGATGATTCTCGCGAAGTGAAGTCAGGCTTGCGGCACGTGGCTAAGGTGACAGATCCGTCAAGCTTTAGGGTCCTAAACATTTGGGGGGATGCTCCTGGAGTGCAATTCTACACTGGTAATTTCCTTGCTGGCATTGTGGGGAAAGGAGGTGCAGTCTATGGGAAGCACGCAGGCCTCTGCCTTGAGACGCAAGGTTTCCCAAATGCGGTCAACCAACCTAATTTTCCATCAGTGATCGTTCATCCTGGTGAGAAGTATATGCATACAATGCTATTTGAGTTCTCCACCAAGTGAACTAGCTCTTGTAGAGATACACCTTTTTTCCATGTCCTTTTCTTTTTCTTGTCTTAAGTTAATGAACTTCTGACAGTGTTAGTTAATAGCAGTAATTAGGAATGAAAGACACCATTTTTTCATAGGTAATGTTCTTTGTGACTACTAAATGTTGTGAATTGGCGACACATTATACAGGATTAGCAATTCTAGCATGGAGTAGGTAAGGAAAGAGGAAGAGAACAAACCATTTTTCCGAGGGATTTTTGGCTGTACCAGCTGTACAGGAGTTAGTCCATTCTTCTATCATCTTCGATCACGAAGGGATCGAGAACACAGTTTTTCTTTTTCGCTGATCGACACAAGTTGAAAAGAACTCCCTGTTCCTTTTTGCAACTACGGACTTTTGTCTTTTAATCATCAGCTTCCCAAGTTTGTTTGAGTAATATTTTTTTTTTGAATTTGTCTCGGTGTTGCATCTGACCTATCAAAACTTTGCACCGTGAACTTCATTTTATTTTTTTTCTCCCCCAAACACTTAGATTTTTTGTTCGGTGACCTTCCTGCATTTTCCTGTGCGAACTTTGAGTTTTTTTAACCTTTTCTTATTCAGTTAACTCCTACTCTCTCCGTCCGGAAATACTTGTCATCAAAATGGATAAAAGGGAATGTATCCAGACGTATTTTAGTTCTAGATACATCTCTTTTTATTCATTTTGATGACAAGTATTTTCGGACGGAGGGAGTATTTATTTATTTTTGTAGATTTTACAATTTCTATTTATTTTCACGTTACTTCTTGATTTTTAAACATCAAACTGCTCCTTTATTTTATTTTGAACTTCTTTGTTTTCTTCTTTAGCACGTGAACATCTAGTAGCAACCCTTTTTTGATTTCAATTTTCTTTTTACTATATTTTTCTCATCCGAATTGCACTCAGTGTGGCTTTTGAACTGCTGGGTGTTTCACATCTCACTTACACCCTGTTTCTTGTTCATAAGTCCTAAACCGTTAATTGGAATGAAGCAAATGATATACTGTTGAATACCTATTGAAAATGAGCAAACAAAATCCGTGTTGACCATTTTTTCAAATTCACCATGGTTTAAGAGCAGCATTGAATACGGTAAAACTCAATTTTGAATGCCACACATTTATTTTTTGAAAATTTTGTTGATGTTGCCTTTGAACTTTCAGTTTTGTCACACCTTGAACTTTTGATCATTTTATGGCATCATATTTTTTGTTTTCTAAAGTTCCAAATGTTATCTGAACTCTCCCAGCTGTCTTCTCTAAACTTCCAAATTTTATGCCCGTGAAATTTTGTGAATTTCTGTGGTTTGTTTTATGAACTTGTTATTTTTTTAATCTTTTTGAACTGTGCAGGCTACATCTTTTGAACTAGTACATGTGAGGTGATCAGTAGATGTCGCACATGGGATTGCAACCTGTGTTGCAGGTTCCTATCCGTCGTCCAGAGCCGCTGTAGCCGGAGTGGCTAGCCGCTTGGTCCGCTAGACCCTAGAAATCTCAGAATCACTATTGGATTGTGTTGTGTTGTGGTTATTTTATAAATTTTCATGGAAAATTAGCTACAAAGTTGAAAAAATTTTGGGTGAAACAAATACGAAAATTGTCCCTGCATTATTTTTTACTAAAAGGGCAAATAAGAATTATGGTAATCCACTGAAGCGCCAAATGTCACAAATTCAGTTTGCAGTCCCTCCAATTCCTCTCATTTGGTAGCGCTAGTACTGCGATGGTGATGTTGAACCTGGATTAAGATTCAACCGAACCAAGAACCTTGCCTGGATTAACTCCAGTGAGGTTTTCATTAGTTTCTTCCGAAAAATGGAACCTACTTAGGTCTTCTTTGTTCAAAGGAAAAGTGTAGTAAATACATAGGAATTGGAATGGGATTTTTTTTTATGGTTTTGCTATTCAAGCCTTCATTTCAAAGGAAAAAATAATGGACATTTTTTTTGGTCTTGGTTTCAGAGGAACAAACGTAGTAATCTGCCTGAACCTCTTTTCAAATTCCTAGGCACCAAAAACAAGAATGAGATCCTTAGTGACCCTAGTCAATGTGTACGTGCAATGCATGTTAATTTGGAAGTATATTAAATGCATGCGGATATTAAGTAGGATATTATTTGTGTGTTATTATGTGATTAGCATTATTTTTGGCATAAAATTAACTGCACGCTAAACGTGTTGAGCGCTCGACATTGAAGCAGTCTAGGTCGTTGGATTGACATGATTTCAAGATTAGTTGGATCTGTTTCTTTGGGTCTTTTATATTGGTATATAGATATAGATAATAACATGGTAATATACTTTTTGACGTGGTTGACATTGATTTGACTCTGGTTAGGATTCCTATTCGTTCTCTATTCATGTGAAACAAACATTTGAGTCTGTAAGATTCTTAAGTTCTCCGATTCTTTGTTTTACACATGCATTCTATCCAATTCCTGTTTTTTTTTTTTCCTTTTTAGCGCTTAGTGTGACTAGGCCTTAGTCAACTAAGACTTAGCTTAACTAAGTCTTCGTGAAGTGACCTAACATGTAAGAGAAAAAACTGAAAGAAAAACTTACGCGGATCTTAAGATTTTAATGTAAGATCTCATAAGAGCATCTCCAGCTGTTGGCCTCCCAGGAGGGGCTAAAAATCGCCCCTGAGGCGCACCGACGCTAAACCGCACGCTGGGGGCGTTATGCCCCCAGTCGCAGCACCCACGTTTTTTTGAAAAACTTAAATACGGCGCAAACACGACGCAAATTCAACGCAAACTTCTGCGAGTTCGTTTAAATTTAAACATATTTTTTTAAAAAAAAACTACTAGGGCTGCTCCTCACCGTCTCCATCGCCGCTCGTCGCCGTCTCCCTCGCCGCCCGTTGCCCGCCCTTGCGGTTCTACATGCCGAGGAGGCTGTAGAACCGCGTGTAGTCGCCGCCGCCGCCGTTGTCGTCGTCGTCGCCGCCGTCCCTGCTGCATCCCTCCCCCGATTGGAGCGGCGGGTTGGACGGTCCGGGGGCGTCCTCCTCGTCGTCGTCGCTGTCGAGGATCACGACGCGTGCTTGTCCTCGCGCCCATGTTTGCGGGCTTCTATCTCCTCCAGGGCCCGGCGCTGCCGGACCATCTCGTCACGGAGGTAGTCGTCCCGCGCCCATTGTAGAGCGTCCTCGTCGGAGAAGCCGCGCCGGGCTATCTCCTTGTACTTGGCGGGGAGGCCGGGCTCCGGCTTTGGCTCGACGAGGACGAAGCGGCCAGAGGGGGGGGGGTCGAGTCGCCGATGCGGACACCGGAGCTGCGGGTGTGCGCGCTGACAGGCGTGTCCTGGGGCTCCGGCTTGACGGGGCGGAGGCAGGGAGAGCCGGACGAGGAGGAGGATGCCCCGGGACGCTCCATGCGCCTCGGCGTCCATGAGCTCCCACGCCGGCGAGAGAAGGACGGGGGAGTGGGGTACTCGAGGCGCGGCGTGTTGCCGCCCTTGATGTACTCGAGGACGGCCTCCAACGTGCGGCCGGGCACGCCCCACCACCGGCGCCGAGCCTCGGAGTTGAGCCTGCCGGAGGGCTCGACGCCGTTCGTCGCCTCGAGCTGTTCGGCGTGGCGTTGGCGGAAGTAGGGCTCCCAGAGCGGGCTGTCGGGGGTGTACCGCGGGCCTTCCCTCGCCGCCCGCGGCAGGGACGCGCGGATACATGCGATCTCTGCACGCCGCGCCGCCCCGATGGGTGGTGGTGGCACCGGCACGCCGTCGGCGCTGATCCTCCACGCCCCGGGCACCCGCATGTCCGGCGGGACCGGGTACTCAGCCTCGAAAAGGAGGCGAGCCTCGTCCTCGTGAAGATGGCAGCGGCCGAAGCCGTTCGCCGCCGCGCCGTCGCCTGGGAAGCGCTCGGCCATTCTTCTGAGCTGGAGACGGCGAGAGGAAGGGAGGGAGGAAGGGGAGAAATGGGCGCGTCGGCGGTGGAGGCTCTGTGCGTGTCTCCGGCGCTCTGGGGTCGGCTTATATAGGCGGAGGCGCCGCGTAGTACGCGTGGCCGCCGCGTTACGCGTGGCGGGCGAGGGGACGCGCGTCGCCCGGCCTTCACTGCGCCGCCCGTGAGGCATCAATGGAGGCTGACCGGCGCGGCAGCGCGCGTAGCTTTGGCATTGATTCGCCGCGAGAAACGAGGCGATGAGGACGACGAAGCGGCAAGAAGAGAGGTGAGTCGCTGGCAAGGGGGGCCGCGGCTCTTCGCACCAAAAACGATTCGCCCGGCGCCCCCGAGCGTCCCCAGCACGCCGGGTTCGGGTTGGATCCGTCGACATCAATTTCGGCCCGAGCCGACGGAAACTGGGCCCTTGAAGACGCGACTGGACCGATTTTTTGACGCCGACGACCGAAAAATCGCGTGGGAACCCTTGTTAGGGACGCGGCTCAAGATGCTCTAAATATAACACCGAAAATCAAGTACTGAGGTTCGGCGAGACTGTTTTTACTTACTCTTGGAAGCACATTGTATGTGTGTGCACAAGGAATCAATGATGAGCAGCACAGACAGCCACCCCGCACTATTGGATCTACTCTTGGATCTGCCGATTTTGCCATTCTGGCATTCTACTCCATGCAGGACAGCTTTGTATAAATATCAATCCACTGCAACAGTTGACCTCCCCACTTGACCTCCTCGACAAAACAAAACAAGCACTAGATTGCACATGGGTTCCGAGGCGATGGAAGCTGCTGGAGCGCGAGATCCACCGGAGCGTCGCCGGGGCGCCGTCACGGCCGTCCTCCTGGCCGCGCTGCCGCTGCTGCTCCTGCTCTTCCTCTTCGGCGACCGGGCCGCCTCCATCGCCGCCGACGCCCTGGCCAGGGCACAGGTGAAACAGCAGAGTACGCCACCCACTCTCCTTGAAGCTTACCCACCCACGCCGGCTGCCACCTTAGCTAGGGGCCCCGTTTCCATGCGGTTCATTGATTTGCTTGCCGGATCCATCCATCGATCACAGGTCCACGTAACGCCTCG